TGTCTTTTAAACTTGAACAAATGACATGAGTCTTAACTCTTGTGATAGCACCAATATTGAATTATGCTTTCATAGATTTGTGACCATACTCTAATTATCAATCCATTATCCTATTTTGAGAAGGTGGGGAAGAACAGATTTAACTTTTAAACTCCTAATATTTAGTAGATAAACGTCTAAAACAGAAGAAGCATTTCAAAAATTTCTTTTGTGTTTTTTGGATGTGGTAAAATAGTAAAATGTGTCTTTTGTATACACTTTAAAATCTTTCATAATTAAAAAATACTGAGAAGTCCTGTTGACATTATGAATTATTAGAGAATATTTACTGTTAGATGTATCTATTTCAAGAGCAACTTCAATTTTTATATGTATCCATGTGTTTACAGAATAGGCTTTAGAATTTGCTTTTTCAGCACCAGGTGTATCAGTTGTCCCATCAGCTTTATATTTGATAGACTCATTGTGGTTTTCAAACTGTGAATCAGGACCGCAAAGTGGGTCCTGACTCCATATTTAATGGAGTTCCCAGGGCCAGCATTAGACTTGCTGGGACCCAGGGCTGAAGCAGAAGCCTGAGCTCCACCCCCACCTTCACCTGCATCTGGGGCAATGGGGGTTAAGCTACAGCCACCCCCCCCCCCCCCCGGGGGGTGTCAGGGCTTGGCCTGCAGCTCCCTTTCCCCGCACTCAGGGTGTCAGTGATCCGGCTCTGACTCCCTCTCGCCCCCCAAATGGGTAATGTAGTAATTGTGTTGTCAGAAGCGGGGTCACAGTGCAATGAAGTTTGAGAACCCCTGACTTAGTTTGGCATCTGAATTAAGTAGTAATAAGAGCACATCTGAACTATATCCTTGTTCCTTTAAATGATTGGAACATAAAAATGCTACCTTCTTCTACATAAAAGAACAATCTGTAAGAACACACATGCTTTACATTATTCAAAGATGATACAGGGGTAAATTAGTTTTTTCCACAAGGTTAGCTAATTGAGTTGAATATTTCTGTCTACAAAAATCAATGTCTAGGTGGACTTTAGAGGGATGTCTATAAGAAGACTGGCATTTGCATTAAGTTGAAGTATTAACATTTGACATAAAATTTTAGAGAGATTCTCAGATGGCTATTTCCACAGTTGTTCTATCTTGCTTTACTATGCTATACTGCCTGTGGACTGTAGTAACAGTGGCTGTTAATGCTGAGGCTCATTTCATATACCAAAGTTCACACCTGTATTGGAGGCGATGTGTGCTGCATGGAAATCATACAAGGGACATCGAATCTCTCTTTCTCAAATGTGTTTCTTACAACTCCACTTCTTCAAATGCAGCACATATGAAATATTTAATTGACAGTTCAGCAAAATGTGTTTTCCTGTGGACAAAGGTATTCAGTATTTTATTAGCAAAGCCTTTTTTTTTTTTTTTCTTTTTTTTTTGTGGTCAGAGTTTTTGTTGTTTAAAGCCTGAAGCAAACTGAGGCACGGGAGCACTTGGCGTTTTCACAAGAAGAGCTGTTTTTTAAAAGAAGAGCTGGGGGATTTAGTGGTTTTATTAACCAAGGCATCATACTGACTTGTAACCTAGTATGATGTTTTGAAAAGTGTTAACCGGAGGGGATACTTAACTCGATTTTTTGTGTTGGCAAAATGAAATGTACTACTTTCTTACAAGCTTCTAATAGTGTTTGTGGCTACCGTGCAGTTCAATTTCAGATATCTGTAATTGCTATTCAGAGAATTGCTTAGTTGTTGTAAATATCAGTTTTCTTTTTAGTATACATACTAAATAGTGTCTTGTTGACAAATGACCATTGAAGTATCCTATCGTAGTTAACTTCATGATTAAAGACCAGAAAAGCTAGAATACTTGTTTAATCTGCGCTCTTGTAGGTGTGAAACATTTTGAAGACTTGCTCTTTTTTGGAGGTGGAAGTGTTTAAATTATGCCGATTTACGCACTTGCCTTTAATATCCTTTGATGTACCCAGTGAGTTAAAAGAAAAGGAGTACTTGTGGCACCTTAGAGACTAACCAATTTATTTGAGCATAAGCTTTCATGAGCTACAGCTCACTTCATCGGATGCATTCAGTGGAAAATACAGTGGGGAGATTTATATACACAGAGAACATGAAACAATGGGTGTTACCATACACACTGTAAGGAGAGTGATCAGGTAAGGTGAAAAGAAAAGGAGTACTTGTGGCACCTTAGAGACTAACCAATTTATTTGAGCATAAGCTTTCGTGAGCTACAGCGTCCGATGAAGTGAGCTGTAGCTCACGAAAGCTTATGCTCAAATAAATTGGTTAGTCTCTAAGGTGCCACAAGTACTCCTTTTCTTTTTGCGGATACAGAGTAATACGGCTGTTACTCTGAGGGTATGTCTACACTACGGAATAAGGTCGAATTTATAGAAGTCGGTTTTTTAGAAATCAGTTTTATATATTCGAGTGTGTGTGTCCCCACAGAAAATGCTCTAAGTGCATTAAGTGCATTAACTCGGCGGAGCGCTTCCACAGTACCGAGGCTAGAGTCGACTTCCGGAGCGTTGCACTGTGGGTAGCTATCCAACAGTTCCCGCAGTCTCCTCTGCCCATTGGAATTCTGGGTTGAGATCCCAATGCCTGATGGGGCTAAAACATTGTCGCGCGTGGTTCTGGGTACATATCGTCAGGCCCCCGTTCTCTCCCTCCCTCCGTGAAAGCAAGGGCAGACAATCATTTCGCGCCTTTTTTCCTGAGTTACCTGTGCAGACGCCATACCACTGCAAGCATGGAGCCCGCTCAGGTAACCGTCACCCTATGTCTCCTGGGTGCTGGCAGACGCGGTACGGCATTGCTACACAGTAGCAGCAACCCCTTGCCTTCTGGCAGCAGACGGTACAGTACGACTGGTAGCCGTCATCGTCATGTCCGAGGTGCTCCTGGCCACTTCAGCCAGGAGCGCCTGGGCAGACATGGGCGCAGGGACTAAATTTGGAGTGACTTGACCAGGTCATTCTCTTTAGTCCTGCAGTCAGTCCTATTGAACCGTCTTATGGTGAGCGGGCAGGCGATGCGGACTGCTAGCAGTCGTACTGTACCATCTTCTGCCGAGCAGCCATGAGATGTGGATGGCATGCAGTCCTTCTGCACCGTCTGCTGCCAGCCAAAGATGTAAAAGATAGATGGAGTGGCTCAGAACAAGAAATAGACCAGATTTGTTTTGTATTCATTTGCCTCCTCCCCTGTCTAGGGGACTCATTCCTCTAGATCACACTGCAGTCACTCACAGAGAAGGTGCAGCGAGGTAAATCTAGCCATGTATCAATCAGAGGCCAGGCTAACCTCCTTGTTCCAATAAGAACGATAACTTAGGTGCACCATTTCTTAGTGGAACCCTCCGTGCAGTCCTGCCTGAAATACTCCTTGATGTACAGGCACACCCTTTGTTGATTTTAGCTCCCTGAAGCCAACCCTGTAAGCCGTGTCGTCAGTCGCCCCTCCCTCCGTCAGAGCAACGGCAAACAATGGTTCCGCGCCTTTTTTCTGTGCGGACACCATACCAAGGCAAGCATGGAGGCCGCTCAGCTCACTTTGGCAATTAGGAGCACATTAAACACCACACGCATTATCCAGCAGTATATGCAGCACCAGAAACTGGCAAAGCGATACCGAGCGAGGAGGCGACGTCAGCGCGGTCACGTGAGTGATCAGGACATGGACACAGATTTCTCTGAAAGCATGGGCCCTGCCAATGCATGCAGCATGGTGCTAATGGGGCAGGTTCATGCTGTGGAATGCCAATTCTGGGCTTGGGAAACCAGCACAGACTGGTGGGACCGCATAGTTTTGCAGGTCTGGGACGATTCCCAGTGGCTGCGAAACTTTCGCATGCGTAAGGGCACTTTCATGGAACTTTGTGACTTGCTTTCCCCTGCCCTGAGGCGCATGAATACCAAGATGAGAGCAGCCCTCACAGTTGAGAAGCGAGTGGCGATAGCCCTGTGGAAGCTTGCAACGCCAGACAGCTACCGGTCAGTTGGGAATCAATTTGGAGTGGGCAAATCTACTGTGGGGGCTGCTGTGATACAAGTAGCCCAGGCAATCAAAGATCTCCTGATATCAAGGGTAGTGACCCTGGGAAATGTGCAGGTCATAGTGGATGGCTTTGCTGCAATGGGATTCCCTAACTGTGGTGGGGCTATAGACGGAACCCATATCCCTATCTTGGCACCGGAGCACCAAGCCGCCGAGTACATAAACCGCAAGGGGTACTTTTCGATAGTGCTGCAAGCTCTGGTGGATCACAAGGGACGTTTCACCAACATCAGCGTGGGATGGCCGGGAAAGGTGCATGATGCTCGCATCTTCAGGAACTCTGGTCTGTTTCAAAAGCTGCAGGAAGGGACTTTATTCCCAGACTAGAAAATAACTGTTGGGGATGTTGAAATGCCTATATGTATCCTTGGGGACCCAGCCTACCCCTTAATGCCGTGGCTCATGAAGCCGTACACAGGCAGCCTGGACAGTAGTCAGGAGCTGTTCAACTACAGGCTGAGCAAGTGCAGAATGGTGGTAGAATGTGCATTTGGACGTTTAAAGGCGCGCTGGCGCAGTTTACTGACTCGCTTAGACCTCAGCGAAACCAATATTCCCACTGTTATTACTGCTTGCTGTGTGCTCCACAATATCTGTGAGAGTAAGGGGGAGACGTTTATGGCGGGGTGGGAGGTTGAGGCAAATCGCCTGGCTGCTGGTTACGCGCAGCCAGACACCAGGGCGGTTAGAAGAGCACAGGAGGGCGCGGTACGCATCAGAGAAGCTTTGAAAACCAGTTTCATGAGTGGCCAGGCTATGGTGTAAAAGTTCTGTTTGTTTCTCCTTGATGAAACCCCCCGCCCCTTGGTTCACTCTACTTCCCTGTAAGCTAACCACCCGCCCCTCCTCCCTTCAATCACCGCTTGCAGAGGCAATAAAGTCATTGTTGCTTCACATTCATGCATTCTTTATTCATTCATCACACAAATAGGGGGATGACTACCAAGGTAGCCCAGGAGGGGTGGTGGAGGAGGGAAGGAAAATGCCACACAGCACTTTAAAAGTTTACAACTTTAAAATTTATTGAATGACAGCCTTCTTTTTTTTGGGCAATCCTCTGTGGTGGAGTGGCTGGTTGGCCGGAGGCCCCCCACCGCGTTCTTGGGCGTCTGGGTGTGTAGGCTATGGAACTTGGGGAGGAGGGCGGTTGGTTACAGAGGGGCTGCAGTGGCAGTCTGTGCTCCAGCTGCCTTTGCTGCAGCTCAACCATACACTGGAGCATACTGGTTTGGTCCTGCAGCAGCCTCAGCATTGAATCCTGCCTCCTCTCATCACGCTGCCGCCACATTTGAGCTTCAGCCCTGTCTTCAGCCCGCCACTTACTCTCTTCAGCCCGCCACCTCTCCTACCGGTCATTTTGTGCTTTCCTGCACTCTGACATTATTTGCCTCCACGCATTCGTCTGTGCTCTGTCAGTGTGGGAGGACAGCATGAGCTCGGAGAACATTTCATCGCGAGTGTGTTTTTTTTTTTTTTCTTTCTAAGCTTCACTAGCCTCTGGGAAGGAGAAGATCCTGTGATCATTGAAACACATGCAGCTGGTGGAGAAAAAAAAAGGGAAAGCGGTATTTAAAAAGACACATTTTATAAAACAGTGGCTACAGTCTTTCAGGGTAAACCTTGCTGTTAACATAACATACATAGCACATGTGCTTTCGTTACAAGGTCGCATTTTGCTTCCTCCCACTGCGTGACTACCCCCTCAACCTTCCCCCCTCCCTGTGGCTAACAGCGGGGAACATTTCTGTTTAGCCACAGGCAAACAGCCCAGCAGGAATGGGCTCCTCTGAGTGTCCCCTGAAGAAAAGCACTCTATTTCAACCAGGTGACCATGAATTATATCTCACTCTACTGAGGATAACACAGAGAGATAAAGAACGGATGTTGTTTGAATGCCAGCAAACATACACTGCAATGCTGTGTTCTACAATGTTTCCCGAGTACGTGTTACTGGCCTGGAGTGGTAAAGTGTCCTACCATGAAGGACGCAATAAGGCTGCCCTCCCCAGAAACCTTTTGCGAAGGCTTTAGGACTACATCTAGGAGAACCGCAAATGCCAGGGCAAAGTAATCCTTTCACATGCTTGCTTTTAAACCATGTATAGTATTTTAAAAGGTACACTCACCAGAGGTCCCTTCTCCGCCTGCTGGGTCCAGGAGGCAGCCTTGGGTGGGTTCGGGGGGTACTGGCTCCAGGTCTAGGGTGAGAAACAGTTCCTGGCTGTCGGGAAAACCGGTTTCTCCGCTTGCTTGCTGTGAGCTATCTACAACCTCCTCCTCATCATCATCTTCTTCGTCCCCAAAACCTGCTTCCGTATTGACTCCATCTCCATTGAAGGAGTCAAACAACACGGCTGGGGTAGTGGTGGCTGAACCCCCTAAAATGGCATGCAGCTCATCATAGAAGCGGCATGTTTGGGGCTCTGACCCAGAGCGGCTGTTCGCCTCTCTGGTTTTCTGGTAGTCTTGCCTCAGCTCCTTCAGTTTCACGCGGCACTGCTTCGGGTCCCTGTTATGGCCTCTGTCCTTCATGCCCTGGGAGATTTTGACAAAGGTTTTGGCATTTCGAAAACTGGAACGGAGTTCTGATAGCACGGATTCCTCTCCCCAAACAGCGATCAGATCCCGTACCTCCCGTTCGGTCCATGCTGGAGCTCTTTTGCGATTCTGGGACTCCATCATGGTCACCTGTGCTGATGAGCTCTGCATGGTCACCTGCAGCTTGGCACGCTGGCCAAACAGGAAATGAGATTCAAAAGTTCGCGGTTCTTTTCCTGTCTACCTGGTCAGTGCATCTGAGTTGAGAGTGCTGTCCAGAGCGGTCATAATGGAGCACTCTGGGATAGCTCCCAGAGGCCAATACCATCGAATTGTGTCCACAGTACTCCAAATTCGAGCCGGCAACGTCGATTTAAGCGCTAATCCACTTGTCAGGGGTGGAGTAAGGAAATCGATTTTAAGAGCCCTTTAAGTGGAAATAAAGGGCTTCATTGTGTGGACGGGTGCAGGTTTACATCGATTTAACGGTGCTAAATTCGACCTAAAGTCCTAGTGTAGACCAGGGCTGAAACAGGTAAGGTGAGCTATTACCAGCAGGAGAGCGGGGTGGGGGGCGGGGGAGTGCGGAATCTTTTGTAGTGATAGTCAAGGTGGGCATATTCCAGTAGTTGACAAGAATGTCTGAGGAACCGCGGGGGGAGGGGAATAAACATGGGGAAATAATTTTACTTTGTGTAATGACCCATCTATTCCCAGTCTTTTTTCAAGCCTAAGTTAATTGTATCCAGTTTGCAAATTAATTCCAATTCAGCAGTCTCTCGTTGGAGTCTGTTTTTGAAGTTTTTTGGTGAAGAACTGCCACTTTTAGGTCTGTAATCGAGTGACCAGAGAGATTGAAGCATTCTCCAACTGGTTTTTGAATGTTATAGTTCTTGATGTCTGATTTGTGTCCATTTATTCTTTTACATCATTCACCTGCACATCTGCCAATATGATATATGCTATCATGTGCCAGCAGTGCCCCTCTGCCATGTACATTGGCCAAACTGGACAGTCTCTATGTAATGCTCACAAAAGCTTATGCTCAAATAACTTTGTTTGTCTCTAAGGTGCCACAAGTCTTCCTTTTCTTTTTGCGGATACAGACTAACACGGCTGCTACTCTGAAACCTGTCATTTCCCCATGTTTGTTCCCCAAACCTCCCCCCACTGTTGCTCAGACGTTCTTGTCAACGCCTGGAAATGGCCCACCTTGATTATCACTACAAAAGGTTCCTCCCCCCCCCCCCCCCCCGCAGCCCCCAGGTTAATCATTAATATTTGGAGGATTTTCTTGCTATGCTGTATTAGGAGGAGAACATCACCAGACAGACATTTAAATTGTTTTATTTAACTAAATCAATATTATGTATTCTGTATTTTTTTCTTTAACAGCAAACATATTTTTTAACAAAAGAGCATATGAATTTTTGAGTTTAGTTAAACATTGAAGTTTTTTAAAATCATATTTGTTTTTGTTTAACTAAAATAGTTAAATGAAATATTAAAAAAAAAGAATTAAAAATTGACTGTCAGCCAGATCAACATAAGAAACTTAAAATGTTGGCTTCTACAGCTAACTCAGTCGTCTTCACCTTCATTTTCCTGTTTTGCTTTCTTGCTTTTTCAAGCTTTCTTGCTTTTTCAGGTCCCAAACGATTTCTCAATTTGGAATGAATTAGTCCAAAGGAAAAAAAAATCTTTATACACGAGCAGAAGAAGCTACTGCTGTTAAAAGTGAGATTATCATTTCAACAGTCTCTGAATCCAAGTGCTTAAGTGACTTCCACTAGTTCACTTGTGTGACTTTCTTTAAAACTTAATCAGCAAACATATATTTCTTGAATGGTTCTTATTCCCAAAATGGGTCTCTTTTATGGCCTGCTGCCATTATAGGTTTTCTGTTCTAATGAGAGAATGGTATGGTAGATCTCAAATCAATGAAGGCTACACTCAGAAAGACCTCAAGACTTCTGGAATATGCTGCTCAAACAGTTTCACTTTTATTTCTACTGCCTGTCCCTCCCTTCTCACATTTATCTCCAGACTTCTTCTTGTCCAGATCTATTCCGTCCCCAACAATCTTCTGTTCATCAAACTTTCTGAAACTTTGCACTTTTAGAGAGAGGTAAGGGATTGATTCTGTGTACACAAATTTGCAGAGGGACAATAGGGTTGAGGGTGGTTGTTTCTCACCTCTATTTATTTATTTTATTTTAAAACATTTTTGCAGTTAACAGGCATGTTCTCTCTGGAGACACAAATCCACAGTTTGAGAACTGCAAAGCTAAACATCTCTGATAGTACCCTCTAGACTGAGCACAAAATCCCATTGGGTAATAAAAAGATTAACCTAAATAATCTATACAGAAGCCCCTGGAACCCCATAAAATTGGGTCCCTAATCCATGAGCTATTGGAACTCATTCACAAAACTTTTCTTAAACATGACATGAATATATTGTCTCATACTATAGAATTAGAATGTATAATCCCTATTCCATGATGAGATACATTATAGCTCAAAGATATCTTAATTAAAACTATCTTTAGATAGGTATTTTCCTCAAAACATTTTATATAAAAAAAATCAGATTTAAATAAAAAGTCGATTTTTTTTTGTTTTTATTTTTTAAATCGTTGATTTTTATCCACCCTGGTATACACAGAAATTCTGTTCTCTATTTAGACAACTCCTTTTCTCAAACATACTTATATTACTTTCTTGCCCAGTTATTCCAAGAATATAACTCTTTGAGAGAAAATCTATCAAAGATTTTAGCTGTATTGACTTCAACTTTACATCAACAAAGGTTAACATAAGTGGTTTAGGTGGAATCTTTGAGACTACATAAAGGCATAGCTATGAGTGTTTCTTATGCTGGAGGGACACTTATGTTAAAAAAAAAAAAAAAAAAAGTCATTCAAGATTAGTCTCATTCAGAGTACTCTGACCAAGAGTTAATTCTTGAAAAGTATGAAGAAAATGGTTAATATACTGTGATTTGAGCAGTTAGCTCGTAAAGCAAAATACAGCATCACCATCATTCTGGTAGTGTTGGTGTTACTGTTGGATTTAAATACTTAAGAGAGCTCTTGTAACTGTTGCCATGGTAATACCAGGAGGCAACATGGTAGTTTTCATCTATATCCATGTTCAGCTGAATCCTTTTGTAGTAATTTCACTGTGAAAGGAAAGTGCCATTCTGTAGCCAGGTTAGTTCTCATTTATTACTGCACTAATCAAAAGAGAACAGTAATTAATAATTTCATGGTATATAAACTCTTTAAATTTTAGATACTCTTTGTTTTGAATATTCACTGACAGCCATCTATGGAAAAGATTACCTCTGGAGTTAGTGATCTCCTGATATGCTTTCATGTCACTTTCTCTAGGGTTACCTCTGATCAAGGTACAACTCTTAAAAAGCGTGCCTTTGTAATTGCAAAATGACTTGAAATTTTGACATAGAAATGGAGCTACCCCCTACTTTGTACTTCATTTCTTTCAGAATGGATAGCTATATAGGCCTTTATAACTATAGATTCAAACATTGTTTTCTAGTTTGTCCTTCTTTTGAAATATTCCTTAACATTAGTTAAGTGTCCTATTTTTTAACCTGAATGTAGAGTTTTTTTAGCTGCCTCATTTGTAGTGCCTGACTATTTCATCTTTGTAGTCTGACAACTAGATATTGTTTTAACTGAGGTGACCTAAGTACCTATGTTTATTCCTTACACCTGTAACTTTATTTTTGCCTTGGATACAGAATAAAGGTGTCTTTCTTGCCTTCTCTTTGCCTCCTTTGTACATCATTGTACAGCTGGCTAGACGCATATGTTAATAGCTCAGCAGGCAAAAATAGATATTGATGATCAGTGTTGAGGTAGGAAGCTGAAATACCGAAGATCTGACCTGCAATAGTACAGTAAATACTACATTCCTAAACTGTGGGTTACAGACTTGAATCACTTCAGTCTTCCAAGGCATTCACACATACCAGTTATAACAGACTGTTTTGGAAGACGTTGTCTCTGAGTCACTATCCTTGTAAAATCCGCTTTGGGCTATCTGCATCCAGTGAAATTTAAGGGAAGATATCATAGTTTGTTTTCAACTGTAATTGTCCTCCATTCACTCAGCCTGTAGCTAAATATACTGTTCTTTTAAAGGCATAAAATATTTCTACATGACATACATCAAAATGGAGAATTAAGAAAAGCAATGTTTTCTGAGTTTGGCAAATGTACTATTTATTGTAGTCATTTTAAAAAAAAAGAACTGAGAGTTATGGATTCAACTATGCATTAGTATTTACCCTTCACAAGAAATGTGAAGGGAACTGGTGTTTTTATATTACCTTCTCCTTTCACTCTCAAGTTTTCACATACTTATGGCTCTAAATTTTTAATCTCATTGCCAGTTTTTCTAGCTATTTCATATTGGCGCATGTCAGGCTTTCGCTGGGTTAGTGCACATTAGGAAAATAGGTGGGGGGAAAAAGAGACCCTTCAGAGTAGCGATTTTTTTTTTAGCTGCACTTTTACACTTTTTTGATAAAAATGCTTAGAATAGTAAGGATACTGGAATATAATCCTTGGTTTAGTATGGATATACTCTGAAACATAACTTGTAAAACATGTGAGATTCCATGTTTACCTCCTCACAATATCAGAGGGACTTTTAAAGTTTACTAGGGCCTGGTCTCCATTATGCAGGTTGATGTAAGGCAGCTTAAGTCGACCTAATTATGTCAATGTACATACTACAGCCTTGTTCCGACTATGTAAGTGCTCTACTACATCAACATAATAAATCCACCTCCACGAGAGGCATAGGGGTTATGTCAGTGTAGTTAGGGCAACACAATGTCTGTGTATACATTGTGTTACTTACATGGGCTGTGGGCTGTCTTATCAATTTCAGGGCTCCATGCTGGAGCTGAGAAATTGATAAGAAAGCTGGGAAGCCTGAACCTTGCTGCTACTGGCTCCCCGCTCAGGAAAGTGAGATGCCCAGGCGGCTGCATCCCCAGCTCCCAGCAGGGAACTGTGTGGAAGCTGCCCTGGCTTTCAGCCCCCCACACTGCGCCTCTTCAGTCAGTGGAAGCACTCCTGGTGAGGACGCACACCACTGGCAGAAGGAAGGTAGCGTAAACATCAGCCACTGACCTAATTACTGTGGCGGCTGTAAGTGGACCTAACATAGGTCAACTTAAGTCTTTAATGTAGACATGTACTGAGAAAATATGTTCAGTTCTTGAGGTAGGATGCTGAACTATTTACCAGCATGTCACCTTCAACCTAGGATCTGAAAGTTAGCAGTTATGTATAGCACAACAAACAGCCATGAAAAATTGAGTTAATAACTTTGAACTTAGTTAAGAACATTTTGCTCTTCTGTAGTATCTTCCATTTAAGTCTCAAAAGCATCTTACAGACATTGAATTTCTCCCCAAAGCACCACTAGAGGCTGGGAAGTATTTTTATCCTTATTTTGCATGTGGAACCAGAGAGAGAGAGAGGTCATGAGATCACACAGGAAATCTATCAGAATTGCTCCTGTCTCCCAACCCTGTGCTGTTAGCCATCAGACCTTGTTTTTCCACAGAGAAGGGGTATTGATGTTTGAGCTGGCAAGGAACCTAGCTCGCTTGCTTAGCTGAAGATGCACAGGGAACAGATATATTGTCAGATCATGTCTGTTTTCAATAATTATTTTCTGGATTACACATAGTTATTTTGTATACATGTCTTTAGCTGAGGAAGTATCAATTGTTAGCCAAAAATCATGAAATTTCCCCGCTGATAACCCACTGACCCATTGTTCTCATCATTTAAGACTGCTCTTAACTGTATTCCCTTCCCTTATATCTACCTGATAATATAACTGTCATCTTATGGTTTGATTCCATTTGTTCTTTTTCTCATCTTACAACCAAAAAACAGATAAATGAAAATATTTCATTTAACGTTGGCAATTGAGGTATATATTGACTTGTAGGTACATGTGTATTGTAGGAACATACCATAGAACAGATTCTTTATCTTTAGCCACAAATGCTCAAACTACATTTAGGAAAAATATAGTTTCTGTCCATCTTAGTTTGGAAAGGTGACAATGTAAAACTCAAACCATCTTTTTCTTCTAGTGAAGAGAATATTGGAAGTGAAAAATTACAAACAAAACAACAAAAAAGGTAAACAATTTGTAGCATAAATTGTTGCATTATTTTAAACATGAACTAATGCTTTCTTTTGTACTAGGGTGATCAGAAACTAAGTGGTGTCTAAACACAACATAGAGAAATGGAAAGCAATTTTTATTTTTTTAAAGGGGAAAAGATTTTACTATTTCATCCTGTAATTGTCTTTCAGTGTACAAGGCCCCTTTCACTTCTTAGTTTGTTCTGAACAAGGGAAAAGAGAACAGTGTTCAGGGGCGAAAAAACTTCAGTAGACTGGCTATCTTGTTTATAGTCCAAATATTTAGTTTTGTATTTATAAAGTGCCTTCAAGTTACATAGGCACTAATACAAATTTTTTAAAACTATGATGGACTCTCAATATGGCTTATAAAAGTAAGCAGCCTCTCTCTCTCTCTTTCCACCTGATCGCTAACAAATCCTCTGCCAGTTACAGTGTCAGACTAAACTGATGGATGTTGTAACCTGTCCTAAACTGCTGAACTTGGGCAGACTTTCAGGAGGAACAAGTTCCAAAGATGAGTCTGTTGGAGGATACCTTGCTGCCAAATCCTAGAGTTCAAGTGTCAAGCCACATAGGGTTTAGCTATTAACCCCTTGGATTTAACGCTTCAGCAAGCAGAATTCCAGTACAGAGAAGTGTTATGTGCTGTGTATGTATTGTTAAATACTTGTTAAACAATATTCTTAAACTTCTGAATAACTCAAATAAAAAGTATATTAGTGGTCCAGCCTGGAAGTGCCAAAGGTATGGCTAAGTATTGAGGCCCTACTCAGAGAGGAAGGGCTGTATTCTGTCAGCTGTTGATTGGGGAAGGCATCTTGAGCCATTGCTCTTAACTGAACATCAGGGACCAGTGCTGAATACATTATAAACCCATTATAGCATATCACATAATCACTCCATTAAGGATGTACGCTGTTCCTTGAACAGTCTGCCCCCAACCATCTCTCCAGATGTCTTCCCAATAACCAGCAGCATTATTTCCATCTTGTCTAGCTTTCATCCAGAATGCTATCTCTGACACGTATCAACTGGAAAGCAAACTGTTGGATCTGAATTTGAAGGAAAACCAAAAATGGGTATCAGAACAGTGGTAAAGCAGCAGCCCCAAAGTTTGTTTCCCTCCGTCACCTTCATGTACATGTAGAGGGAATGGCTATGGACGTCGTCATTTTCAGAACAAATAAGATTTATTTCTTCAGTGCAGCTTTTTGCGTAATCCAAGCAACATATCCACTCTCTCATGCAAATATAAACTAGTCAAGCAATTTTTCCTACAGGCCTGGAAAGAAGAGAGATTGTTCTGTTAAATATTTTGAAGATGCTCATACACTGTGGTTGTGGTACTATCTGAGTAGTTAAATTAAATACAGAAAGGTGGTGAGAGAGACCTCTAAAATCAAATTGCTCATGTTACCAAAGAGCTCAGGGTTCTATGGGAGGAAAAAACACAACCACTGTAATGTAGCTTCTTCATACCTACTAGTACTTGACTTGTGGTCAATCATATCAAAGGTGGTCTTAGTAAGCAGTATCTGTGTGGACTCATGATGTCTTTCCATTATTACCTGAAGATCAACCAAAAAATCAGTACATTCTCTGTGCCTTACATCGTTTGAAAACCCACTGCAATAAAGATTAGGGGAAACCAGAGAAGTCTTAAATAATGCAGAAGCTGACTAACCGTTACCTTCTGAGTAACATCCCTGTAAAGGAAGGTTTGAGTGACCATAGCTATAGTCTGTTTTTATTAAAATAAATAATAAAAGTGAATCGAATAATATAACTATTACCCAATCAAGCATTTTTTTTGCCCAATAAAGGTACTATTGGAGGTTGCAGGAAGGTTTTCTACTAAATCAAAGGTATATGGCTGTAAACCTGGCACTGTGACAACAAACAGTGACTTAGAAATCTAGCATTAGGAGGCAGCAACCTATTGGGAAATGAGCTTTCTAAATATGTGCATTGGTAGAGTGAAAACCTATAAATATAATCTATATTTTTACCTTTCACTTTTAGTGGGATGCAAGAGTGACTTTCATCGCACTCATGTTTTTTGTTTTTATTTTTTTAGACCATCTTACTATCCAGAAATGTCAGTTTTGCTAAATTATCACTTCCATACCACCTTTGTGAAAAAGAAGATTTTTGGCTTACTTTGCTCAAATGACAATTTTCACTTAGTTAATAGTATTTCTGAGAGGGGAAGGGAACTGCAGTCCTCCCCCCCCACCCCCCCCGGACCATTTTTGAGACCAGATCAAAGGTTTTGAGTTTTGCATTTTTCATGTACTTTTAACTACCTCAAAGAAAGTGAATGCAATAGCAGATATAATGGACTTGCATGGTGAGTAATATATTAGACGAGGATGCTCTTTGACACCGAGATTATGGTGTCATCCTCCGAATATAATTCAGAGTTTGAAATTACCTTCAGTGACTTCTCAATTTAAATTTTTAATCTAAAACAGCAGCCTTCTAAACTGCGAGTTTTGTTCGTCTTACTGTAGTAAAATATGCGCTCAGTGCTTTAAAATACATTGGTAGTTTCTTTTCAAATTGTAAATGTCACATTACTAAACTCCTATTGCTTGTGAAACAGCTGTGTAATCACTTTTTAATATGGTTCTGAAGTTAGGGAAGTAAACTTACTTACAAAATGTCCTTAACTTGTCACGGATAGTTTTATTTACAACCGTTCTAGACAACAGAATGAAATCATTAATGGCTGAAGAGGAAAGAATTTTTTGAATTAGTGCAGTGTGTGCATTAAAAAAAAAATTTAGTGTGGAAAATATGCTCAATTATATTTTATTGGCACATAAAATAGCAATCGTACCACCAAAGTGTTCATGCTTATTATTGCACATTAACACAGAAAAATCCTTATATACCATCTTTTTCCTCAAATTTGTTTGGAAACCCTTTTGGTTATAGTTTCATAATATTACTATCTTCAAGAATTATACTCTTCTAAAATTAAAAAAATAATTTTCAAACTCCATTATGTGATGAGGGCTTAACTAAAGACTGTCCCATTAAGCTCATCTGTTTTCACTGTACATGCTTTCAGCAATATGTACAAATTGCACATGGGATAGTTTTTATAGAGGGAGTATTGTCTTTTTTAATGCAGTTTACGATGGCGATACCTGCCAGCTTTTTCTTTTGCTGCATTGGCACAGGCATTGTGCTTATTTTGTTGTAAGTGATTCCAGTATTTGATCAGTTCACTAGGCTGGAACTGATGGGAGGTAATTAGGTGGCTATATTTACAGCTGGAATAAGAAACTCGCCAGTGATTGAAGACGAACTCATTGGGTGGGGGCATAGGGTCAATTCGCAACTTGGCAAGACAGATGCCCACATATACATCCTCTAAGTGCAAGCGTCTGATGCTCAAAGAGACTTTAAATACCTTTTCTGCCAAATCTCCAGAAAAAACATAACCAGTTCCTGAGCAGAATACAGGGTAACGCTCACTTGGATACAGATCAGGTGGCATATACCACTTGCTATCCTTGTTCCTATTAGGTGCATACCCTCTCATTAGGTAACCTGTAAAATACTTGTGCCTTGGAGGCAGTTCTGGCTTCAGAAGCTTATGTATTAAATATTCAGTATTGACAAACATATCACTGTCCGTTTTCATAACATAGGGAACATTTGGACAGTAGGTGGCAACCCAGTTCATCCCCATAAGAGTTTTAATGGTTAAGTTATAATAAGTGTCTAAATATTCTTGTTGAATAACGTCATGGTATTGTCTGCTTTCCTCCAGTATGGCATGTTGGAGGTATCCGTTTAGTTTAATGCTTAAGCCCAGCAAAAAAATTCGAACAATTTGGATACCCGGTGCCAAGCTTTCATTTCCCCACGTTTGCCGAATAGCTTGTCTAGCTTCCACTTGGCCTGGTTCTGCAGCTATGAGTAGTATTAGAAAAGGACTCTTCTCCTGGCATTTTTTGGGCTCATTTATTATATACTTAAAATGATATGAAGTTGGATGTCCAGTACCTTTCTCATTGTAAATACTTCCATTGGCACTAAGTGTATTCTCTAAACCAGTTACTCCTTGTGGTGACAGGTCAGTGTTGTTGGAATTAGTGACTGTCTGAGGCCTCAGAGTCTGAGGGACTGTATCCTTCCAAATGTTCCTCAGAGAACTGTGGTTTGTCTCGCTTTTTGTAGACCTAAATCCTCGAATAGTGTAAGCCACAGGATTTTCTTTGAATCCAGCCTTGCCTGGCAGCCAGTCATGATGATTAAAGAACAGAAACATAGCAAAAAGAAACACGAGAGAAAGCAGACCAATAAGATGGGTGCGAAACAGAGACCTTTTGGTATTCCACGTCATTTTTGCAAAACAGCAGTGTCGTCTTCTCCACTGAAGCATGTTGTACGTATCCAACAATGAGATGTGAGATAATGGTTCAACAAAATGCTTTTTCCTTTCTTTCTGAATCCACTGCTATTTTTTGGTTTTCATCTTCTGTTGTATTCACGTTGAGTAATTCTCTGCAAAAGGGTCACTCTGCTGCATAGGTGAAAAAATAACAATCTTTTACAATTCACCTTAAGATCAGGTTTTTATAATCTAAAGTTAGTGAGAAATAAGAAACAAATAAAATTTGAATTTTAATGATAAAATATTAGTCCCAGTGTAATTATCTAAACAGAAAGTTGAATTCCACACTAAAAAGCAAACTTAATTTTTAGGTTAAAATATACTTGATGCATTAGCATTTGGGAAAAGTATAGCGCTTGATTAAATTACAAAAAACTTTGCTTTATATGGGTAGCGTATCCTAGATACTAATGATTTGTCTTCTCCTTCCCACTGTGCAATAAAAGGTAGCTTGTTCAACTCTGGACAAGAAAGTCTGAAGCTGACTTAAATCAGCTCTATGTATAGTGAATGTAAAACTGTTCTACAGTTCTTGAGAAAGGCCAGATGAAAAGGCCTTGATACCAGATGGGAAGGTTTATTGGCATTAATTAAAATGGATTTGACATGTAGTGGGTAGTATGGCTCACAGTCAGAGGCCCTTTTTGTAAAATGGTCATGTTTGGGTAGTGGGACAGACGGTGCAAGGTTGATTATAGCAGAGTTCTGTTAGTCACAGTACACTGCTTGGCATGTTTCCATTGGCCCCTACTGTGTTCAGAAACTCAGTGAGAAGTTGCATCTGTCAAATTAATTTTCGGGGTCCAGTAACCTCATTGCATGATAAACGATAAATGCATTTGTTCGTCTTTGACTCACCTTTAACCTTTTGTTCCACAAGGAGGGGTTGAAGAGAACATTTTCCTTACCTGAATCCTCTGTGGTTAATTTTAAAATTAAATATTTAATTTACTATAGTCACGGAGAGTTCAGTTGTGTGTACAAAGTAAAATTACACAGTAATCTCAATTTTTATAGTAAATCACAGATTATTAATACTTTCATTGTTTTTAAAGTAACTAACTTGTATGCTTCTGTTACAATGTTACAGTTAAAACAAAATTACACTAGCAGCTGCAACTATAGAAAATTTGCTAACTTAGCTTTACAGCATCACTTCCCATCGCCTCATAAATTTATTTTAGATTCAAGAGCAGAGTCAATATGGCAGCTTCATGATGTTGCATATTAAAAGCTGATCACATCATCTCATAAATGAGCCTTTCATTGCACAGTACAAATTTGTTCGTGATTTTCAATTTGCTCTAATTTATTTCTAGACTCTAGGGTTTTGAGTTGGAAAAAAAAGAAGCCTATCTTGTTGGAGTCCCATGGAAAACACTTCTTTTATGTAAATGAGTAATTTTATTTAATTACTTCGCTATCTTCCAAAGCCAATATTGCATTAATTCTTCATTTTAAAAAAGGTAGTGACATGTTACATGGATAATTACAAGATTTAAACTGTAAAGATGTAATTTGAAAGGTTGGCACAGAGATAATTTATTAAATCATACTATGGTTAGCGATTAAAAATCTTTACTTACTCCCACAAACACGTGTGTGTGTGTATATATAGCCAGTGCCCGAAACATGCAGAAAAAATAAAAATGATTCTAAAAACTTGATGTAGAATTTTTTAAAAAGTGACCATATGTCAAACTAAATTTAAAGTGGAAAAAATGAATATATCTTTATGCAGAGGAAAGCTCATTCAGAATATTTGGATACAGTGCTGGAAGTATTATCTTACTGAATGAAAGCTATAGTTTGTCTATCTTATTAACCTCCACTAGGAGGAGCAAGTAAGTGGGGATTTTAACCATGATTTTTAACAATGTAAATATATCTGAAAAGGCTGTACAGTTCCAAAATTCTGCTTCTGAAACAGTAAAATATTTGCTCAGTGATATATTCAACTCTTCTATATGAACATTTTCTACTATTGTATGCAGTGCCTAAACCCACTGAGTTGAAATAGTTTTGTCTGAAGTTGAAATTTAGTGGCTCATGTCATTTACTTGATACTGAGCTGCCTCTAAAACTATTTTAGAATGTACACAATGCATATCTCTAACATGGAGGTTAAAGTTGTAAGTGATAAAAATATTTAATTTGAGAACTAACATGAAATTGTCTGTGTAGGAGGAAATAAATCCCTCAGGATTTAATTTTGAGCTGATCTGCCTATTCATGAACTTGGGGGGTTGTGGGGGTGTGTGTGTGTGTGTGTGTGAGAGAGAGAAATATATAACGCTGACAGTGCATTTTATGTGAAAAATCAGTGGTTTCAGTTTTGAAAAATTTTACATGAAAGCAAATACAACAGTCTTACTTCAAATGTCTGTTCAGCCAACATCTCTCAGTTCAATGAATATTTAATGTCCGCTTCTGAGGGCAGGGATATATTTGGTAAAACATTGTCACTCCATTACATATGTATGTAGGCTCTTATAGATTTCAGAAAGGTAAAATACAGAATTTCTTGAAAAGCTGAATAACTCCACTACTACAACTTCCTCTTATTAAATGCAAAAGATTTCAGTGAATTTTACTTTGGTAGCTGTAACTATGAAATAATATTTCAATGTTTAATTGATGTAACTTTTTTCTGTGCACCCATTTTTAGTTAGAGGAACTTGAAAGTACTGAAGACTATTTCATGTACAACAAACTTCTGAAAACTTGTTTTGAATTAATTTTCACAAGAAAATATAGGAATAGAGGATTTTAAAAGTTGAAGCTTATTTAGAGTCTGCATGCTTATGTGGTCTGTTTAAATTTCTTAATATGCTAAGCCTATCCTCAACTCAAAACTTCAAAAAAATGAGGTGATTTCTTCAAATGTTTCTTGATTGTCATGGATGTTCATAAAATCGTATATTCAAAAATTGTATAATATTTCTTGTATTTAAAAATGTCTTCTCTAGGCTTGTGGAAATATTTACTGGAAGACTAAATTAAAACTTGATGTCTTCATTATGTCATTTGTAATTGTAGTTCAAAACATTTTAAAATGCGTGAAGGAAATTAAGAATTTTATCTCTAAGTATAGTAATTGTCCTTTTTTGGAGAAGAAAAAGTGACAGATTGTATTACCTAATAAAATTTGTCTAATGTTTAACAGACTGTGAGAAGTTGGCAGTGTACATTATGAAAAGCATTAATGGATTTGTTTCCTGCCACTTCACTGTTTTATTAGGTAGAGTATTATCAAACACTTGTTCAGTTAGTAATATTAAGCTGTATTTTTTAAAAAGCTTAGAATTAACACATCCTGTGTTACTGATAAGTGGGACTAAACCTACCTAGAGAGTTGAATAGTCACCTTGTCCTTTGAATGCTATAGTATGCAGCTGTGCATTTTAAGCATATTATTTATAAAAGCTCTATTTGTTTCTCAACACTTGAATGTGCAGTGATTGATGTATTGTGAATAGACCAAGTTCAACTGTAGAATGCCTCTTGAATGTTTTATTTTTGGTCTTTGCCCTGCTTGTGTTTCAGCTCCTATTTCCAGTAGTGCTCAATAATTATGGCTCTGCAGATTGAAGCTTTAGTTTCAGCTCTGCATTTATACATCCTGGATTTTCATATTTTGATTAGCTCTGTGGGTAAACCCTTAATTAGAGGGAAAAGTTGTGAAGGCAGCCTGAGAATTGGTGTACTGGTGGTAAATAGCAGCAGGGTTTAAGCACTTTATGCAGGGCCTAATATCTGTGTTGACATATTAACTGCATTAATCCTTTTCACAAAATGGACTATGCTCAAACTGATGTTTCTTTTCTGTTTGTTAAAATCCAATAATTTTAAATAATGAAATTCACAAAATTAACCATCACTCATTGGCACATTTGCTGCTGTTACTTTTTTTTTTCAGTGAATCTTTTACAAAATTAGTGTTTTGGACAGATTTAATACACGAGTTGTGTTTTGTTTTTTCAAGGTGCCACTCAGTTTTCAAGTTACATCATCTTGCTGTATCTTTTGTTAAATTAGACATGCAGACTTTGTCTACAGTTGCATTAGTTTTATCATATGTTAGAATTACCTGGGACAAAGTAAGCACTTCTATATAACACTCTTAAATCATTTATCATGTTTTATTGTTAGATTTTGCAGATAAGGATGTTCACTCTGTAGCTCTATAAGATTGTTATAGATTCAGGTCTTTTATTTTTATTTCAGATATTCCTGAGATTCCTCTTCGTTTTTTATCAATAAAGTATTTTAAGGTTACCGAGCTAAACAATAGGTAAACTGATTTTCAATCATTTCTATCATGGTGCCTTTTTTTATAGTCAGAGTTAAACAATTAATGTGTTACATATGAAGCAGATAACTTGTAACGATGGCATGATGTAAATTATATGCTCACCATCTTGAGTGATACCAGTATATTAAGGTTTCCTTTGGGGATCTCAGTGGAGCCTGATACTACTTGTAAATGTGGTGGTTAATTGTACTTCTGGTAGATTAAATCGTGTCCATTCTTTTGCATGCTTTTTTAGTCCTAAATTAGGCATGCTGATAATATTTAATCTGATGTTTTGTTTGTGTTTAAGAGCACTATATAGAAAATTCAAAAAGGATTGAAGGTACTACTTAACTAATGTAATTTGACTGCATGGTCTGTTTTGACGGTTCAGGGCTCTCAGTGTGTGTCACACACAGCCATTTTACCAGGGCTTTAAGATTACTTCAGATAAGGATTAAATCTGACCTAGTTTGAGAGGATGGTTAACTGATTTTTTTTTTTAAAACAAGAGGTTTTTAAGTTTAATTTCTCAAATACAATAACCACAGATAGCTACATTATCCCCATAATCCCTCTTCCCTACCCTTAACCCTCAGTTGACTGTGAGAAACATATTTAACTAAGAAGTAAAGCAGTAGTGACATTTGTTCTCTGTTGTGTGGGTGCTGGGGGGGAGGAACTGCTGGAATTCTTTTTCCACTGTTCATGGAAATGTTATCTCTGGGAACTATAGGCTGGCAGTGATCTATACCTATAGGATGCAAAGGTAATAGACAATTGAATGAATATCTCACACATGCTTTAGACATACCTTCCTTGGTTAGGACATTTATGTTGAGAGGATTATTGCCACTGAAAATAGTTTTGGCACGCATCACTTCAGCAAAAAAGATGCTATCGAACATGCGCACATCCCCCAAACGTCTGCTTCCTGCGATTGCTTTTCACGGTATCCAGTTTGTCCATCTGTCTGCTCGTTGCTGTGTTACCTTCTTTGCTTATAAGTGTCCATTTCTTGGGGTCTTTTGTTCATCTTTCAAACAAAAGAACAGTAGCTCTTGCTTGTGTTCCGAGGAGGGTTGTCTGCTCCTGACAATTGATGCATTGAAGCTTTTACATCTGGCATTTCCCTTGTCGGACAATGCAGTGCTGTATTCTCTTCTCAGTATCCATATTTCTAGCGATAATGTTAAGCAGCAAGTGCTAGAGTGTAGTGGTTCAGTTGCATTCAATAATGGGATTTATCTCTTCCGTCCATCCGTCCTTCCTCCTTTGTTGCTAGGCAGTAACTGAAAAGGTTTTGAGAATTTTATCTAAGGGTTTTGGTTTATAAAATCTATTCCATAGTTCTTCAGCTGCTGCACAGGCAGGCAGCAGTTTAAATGTGGGCTTTGACAGATGCTGTCTTCTGACAGAGCAGAATTTAACGTCATTGCTTGGTTGACTCCCACGTGATTGTTTGCATTCATTTTGACTAAATCCTAAGGCAGCCAGAAAGCTTACAGGTTTTTACTTCTGTTTGATAAATGATACTTATTCAGTACAAGTGTAGTGCTGAGTGAATAATATGAAAATGGGATGATTATTAAATGAATGATTCAGTTTGTTTTTCAAATTGTACTGCCTTATCTTTAGTGCCATAACTTACAATTCTCTAATGTTTTTTTTGTTAGACATTACATTTTCTTATTCTGGGTATACTTCTGCAGAGGATAAAAGCTATAAGCTTTTAAATATGTTAGCTTTGGTTAACCCCTTCACTGCTCTGTGAACATGCCTGGTTATTCCGTGTAAAATAGGACATATGTCCTACTATATTATAATAAAATAAAAATAGAATGCCCCCACCTTTATTCCCTACACCCATGACTGCTCATGTGGAAACTCCTCTTCATGATCTTAATTTAGTCAAAGCAGTTGGCAGCAGCTAATCTACAAATACCAAGGCATTCAGCCGTTAGTGGTTTCCTTCATTGGTAGAAGTCACAAAGTTCAGCATTGAAGAAATAGGAAAGTTGAATGATTGTAAGAGACCCTGATATTTTTATATTTTTTTTCTTCTTTTGAAATGTCTAAGCTATATAATTTGCCTTGATATTCTTTAATACAACTTGCATTAAATTTTATTTTCTCTCATTTCAACAATCAGGTCCTTTTATGGCTGTATCATAGTAAAGTATCATAGTAAATTATGTGATGTATGCAGTAGATGCAGAACTGCAAAAACTCCAAAGATTTTACTCAATTATGGGGAACACAATTGTACTGAAGAATGAATATTTGAGCATTTATCCATCTCGTCCTTTGAAAACGGTCCACTGATTTTTCATTTCTGAAACTCTTCTAATGGGACTAGCCATTGACTAAGATTGAGAATTTCTTCATTGGACTACCATATTATATGCTACCTCTGACTTGTGTAGTGCACTGGGCAAGTACCTGCTGTAATGGAAATTAAATAACAATTGATGCTTCCCCAGGTGCAGTCAATGTGGTTTACTGTTCCAGCTGCATGTTCTGATAACTTCCAAAAACGATTTAATCAGAGATATACCTTTTTTTACCAAAATATCAACGTATAGAAGTCCAACATGTTAATTAGGATGACCTTTTTTCAGTCTATATTTCCAATCCTAATTACAATTTGTGTAAACCTGTTACCCTCTTTGAGGTACTATACAGTAACTCCTCGCTTAACATTGTTGTTATTTTCCTGAAAAATGCTACTTTAAGCGAAACGATGTTAAGAGAATCCAATTTCCCCATAAGAATCAATGTAAATGGGGGAGGGAGGGGTTAGGTTCCAGGAAACTTTTTTTCACCAGACAAGACTACACACACACACACACACACACACACACACACACACACACCACACACACACACACACACAGTTTTAAACAATTTAATACTGTGCACAATGATGATTGTGAAGCTTGGTTGAGGTGGTGGAGTAAGAGGGTGGGATATTTCCCAGAGAAAGCCTTACTGCTAAATGATGAACTAGCATTCAGCTGAGCCCTCAAGGGTCAACATGTTGTTAATGTAGCCTCACACTCTACAAGGCAACAGGAATGGAGGGAGGAGAGACAGCATGGCAGAGAGAGACAGAGAACACACGTTGTGTGTGTCGCGCGCGTTGCCCCTTCAAGTATGCTGACCCCACCCTAAGTATACTGCCTTTTAAAGTAGATCGGCAAGTTGAGACAGCAGCTAGTGCTAGGAAGCTCCCTCCGTCTTGAGCCCTGTTGTCCCCTCCTCCCCCGCTCTGTGAACACGGGGTACATGAGTATGGGGAGCGGGACACTCTGACAATACCCTTCTTCTTCTCTTCTCTTCTCCCCCTCCCCCTGCACAGCAAGCAGGAGGCTCCCGGGAGCAGCTCCACGGCAGAGGGGGTCTGGACAGCTGAACTGCCTGGCACTTGATAGCCTGCTGGGCGGCTGCTGCACAGGGAACTTAGTGGAGCTGATGGGGGAGCTGCCAGTCCACCCTGGTTCCAAGCCCCCACCAGCTTGCTGCAACAGGCTGCTCTTTCTGCAAGCAGTGGACAAAGCAGGCAGCTGCCAAACAACATTATAAGGGAGCATTGCGCAACTTTAAACGAGTATGTTCTCTAATTGATCAGCAATGTAACAATGAAACAACGTTAACCAGGACAAAGTTAAGTGAGGAGTTACTGTATATTGGTAAAGACTTGTATCTGCTTTGGTCTAAAATAGTGATTTTAAAAAACCAAAAGGGTGAGTAATTGTAGGCAGTAACTATACTGCCCAAAGTGCACTATAAATAATTAAGAATCAGTATTGAGAAAAGTGTGTATTCCTCCTGCCTGTCTACTGACGTGTCTGTTCAAACTTTGGGACATATACAACTCATCCTCCCCTTCTTCCAAAACTTAAATATATTAAGGCTTGGTCTACACTACCACCTTACATCAGTTTAACTATTACTTAGGGGAGTGAAAATCCACCCCCTGGTGTAATGCAGCTATACCAACCTAACCCCTAGTGTAGAAAGCAGGTCGACGTAGCTACCTCCTCTCTGAGGTGGATTAACTACACCTTTTCTGTCGGTGTAGGTACAGTAGAACCTCATTTATGAGCACCTTGGTAGTGGAGAGTGTTCGTAACTCTGAAATGTTCGTTACTCTGAACAAAACATTATGGTTGTTCTTTACATTGAATATTGACTGAATACAGCTTTGAAATTTTACTATGCAGAAGAAGAATACTACTTTCCCTGTCTATTTTATTTTTTTAGTAGTTTAACACAGTACTGTACAGTATTTACTCTCTTTTGTCTCTGCTGCTGCCTGATTGCATACTTCTGGTTCCAATGAGGTGTGTGGTTGACTGGTCAGTTCGTAACTCTGTGTTTGTAACTCTGAGGTTCTAATGTAGCATCTTCACTAAGTACTGCAGCAGCACCACTGCGGTGCTGTAAGTGTAGTCAAGCCCATAGTTTGTATATGTGTAGTAACAGATTACACCAAATATGACCGGTTGAAAGCCAACCTGCTGTTTTCTGAAGTATTTCCTGGAAAATCAAAAAGAATTCATGTAGTTAATTTAGTGATAGTGATTTACATAAGCAATGCTTTTGAATATCCACCTGAAGGCTGCTGCTTTTTTTTTTTTTTTTTTTTTGAATTTTGCTGATGTTAAACTGCATGCTTGGAAGAAATGGACTTATCTGAAGTGGAGGAGCAAGTGTAGGATAGCTCACTAAAATCCATTTACTGTTTTTATTTATTTTCATTTGTTGTTTTGGGCATGGCAAAACAATCTATGAAAGGCTATGTATTCCAATATGTGCCTAAGTGCTATAATGCACGATGATCCCAGTATTTGTCTGTAAATGCTTTATTAAGATATATACAAAAATTATAAGAAGTCCACTTATGAAGGCTAAATTTTTATTTTGTTTTTGGTTAGTGACCACTTAATGGTTATGGGTGGCATATTGCTTATGGGTGAGAACTTGACATGCATCAGGCTTGTCATCCCAAGGGGAGTCTTTGACATGCTTCAAACCAAATACACTGCTTCAGGTAGAATAAACAAACAAATTTATTTACTACAAAAGAGAGATTTTCAGTGATTAGAAGTCAAAGCACAACAAGTCGGATTTGGTCAAATGAAAAGAATGCTCTTTGCTTTTAAAGCTGATCTTCACACTTTCAGTGCCCTTACAAACTTAGATGCTTCTCACCACAGGCTGGCTGGTTGCCTTTCAGTCAGGCTCTCGCCTTTGATCAGTGTTTCAGTCGCTTGGTGGTGGTGTCTGTCGATCAGGGATCGGCAGCCTTTGGCCTGCGGCCTGCTGGTGTGTGGGCAAAACAGAGCCCACTTAACTTTGGAGTGAATATGGCGTCTCTGGCCTAGGTGTACTGTCAGAAACGTTTGTGCATCTTTATTGAAAAGTTTGAAATGTTTCTGTCAAACAAAAAAAAAATATGGGCACATTTTCGAACTTGTGGCTTTATGGCCATCAATGTTACTTCGCTCATATTCCTGGCTACCCATCTGAACATTTAACTTGCAGTATACTTCTGCTTCTTAATTTTAACTGCTTTACTTTGCATGCTGCTGCATAGCACAGCATAATTTAGAATCATTTTGTATACTTTGTTTTTACTTCTGTTAAATTATGTTTTGGGTTAAAACACTTCTGTCATGCAATTAAATACTGATAGCTGTTAAAACATAATAAAATGGCTGTGCAAGTCTGTATGTGGAATGTAGGGAATAGACAGCTTTGAGAATGGAATAGTTCAGCTTCTAAATCCAGGTGTATGTGGCTGAAAAGGCTGAAGTTGCGCTGCAGAGCTGTATGTGCGATGATTCTATTCCAAAATGTATATGTTGTAGAGTTTTCAGCATATTACAATGAACAATTTAAATATAGCAAATGGCATAGTTCTCAAGTTGATTGTTTTGGCCTTAGTTGAATCTTATGAACAATTCAGTCCCTAGATCTATAGACATTGTTTTTCCCGTTCTGGTACTTATTTACTTACACAGGTGTAACTGTTTTTCAGAAATATATTTATTTAATTCTCTTTAGTTCTAATTAAGTTAGAGACGATTCTGTATCTTAAACTCTCTGCATATAAACATTTATTCATATACTAATAACTGTTCTTTGTTTTAAATAAAGAAATTATCCAGTTTGTAGTGTAGCCAGTGTTGCAGTGTTTTACTTGTGGTTTATTTTATGCTCAGAACACAGGTGCATAATTTAGTGTCACAAGTATTTTCTTAACTGAATGAAAAACTGAAATCTAGAAATGACCACAAGTGTCAGTGTTGTCTTCCTTATTTTCCTTCTCAGACTTTCACTGTTGCTTAATTGCTTCACATACATTATAATTGCTTAAAATTTTTTCTAAAAGCAATTTGGACTTTTGCCT